TACCTATTGGTATTATTAATTTTGGATCGATTTCATTTGGTTTAAGTGGATGTGTTAAATACGATACAATAACACCAACAATAAGAACAGCAAGAACAGCTATCGTTGTATACCACATATAACTAACAGAGTAAAAATCAATCAATGGATCTTGTCTAAAAGATACACATCTGAATGAAATTAACATTTATTTTAAATCTTACTTAATCGTTGGAGGAGATAGTGTTGTTGTTGTTGTATTTGTTATATTAACTGGATCAGTGCAATTATCAATAGTTAGTTCTAAAATTTTACTAGGTATTTGATTTTTTGTTATTTGTGCACCCAAAAAAATCCATAATTGTAAAGCAAGACTTGCTAGAAAACCAATTAAACCAAATGAAATCGATCCAAAATTAATAATACCAATAGGTAATGTTTGTTGTTGCTGTTTACCTGAGCGTATTCGTGATTTTCTTCGATGTGGAGTTGATTATGAGAATTATTTTCAAGGAAAAAAAGTTTGTATTTAATTCTTTTTTTATCAATAAGTAGAATACAATGTCGTTTTTTTTTCGTGTGCCGACATCTGGGAGTGATACTGAAATGAAAGAAACACAAATATATGACACAAATAAGAAGCATTCATTTTCGTCAAATACTGTTTCGCTTGCCCCACCAGTAACAGATACAAATGCGAAACATACATCTCTATCGAATGCTGCTTCACTTGCTTCATCATTAACTAATACAAATGCAAAACGTAAATATCCGTCGTATGCCGTTTCATCAGCTCCATCCGTGTCAAAAAATGGAGGTGAAACTTACGATAATTCAGCAATGAATTTAGTGGACGAAGAACCTCTTAAGACACAATTTTGAAATTCCTTGTTTAATATTATAGAAATTGTTTAGTTTTTAATATTTAAATGTCAAGTTCACTTTTTATGAATATTGACTGTATGCTCATGCGCTTTTATAACAGAAACAAAACAAATCATATTTATACAATTATAAGATCATTGTTGTGTGGAACTCACGTATATTTTCGAAGAAAATAGTGAATTTAAGTTTTAAGTTCAAGTTTTGGCGACTCCCCTCTTCCATTGCTAAGTGTCTCTGATGGGGTGGGTAGAGGAAGAGGGGAGTCGCCAA